GATCCCATATAGGGATGGCCGGTTTGCTCACTGGCTGAGCGTGGTGCTGACTACACCAAGTCAAGGGTTAAGATCCCCTTACCGGTCATCGGGGCCGGCCCGTGGCTCACTTGGAAGAGTGCGGTGCTGATAACGCCAAGGCCACGGGTTCGGATCCCATATAGGGATGGCCGGTTTGCTCACTGGCTGAGCGTGGTGCTGACAACACCAAGTCAAGGGTTAAGATCCCCTTACCGGTCATCTTTTTTAAAAAAAAAAAAAAAAAAAAAAAAGATCCCCTTACCCGTCATCTTTTAAAAAAAAAAAAAAAAAAGACTATCAGGGTCATGTCAAAAGAAGACAAGAGCCAACTTGCAGGTGATCCCACTGGCCAAATATGGAGAAATTTGAGTATCAAAAGGAATAAAGACTGCAAAGGATTAAATTAAATATGTTAAAATTTATGCATTCATATTGACATATGGGGGAAAAAGTGACTTCAGTCACCTCAGAGCTTGCTGAGAAAATAATTGAGCTTTTATTCTGCCTTTCCTGTACAAACCATATTTAAAGGTAACTAAATAGTTGGGGGAGGGCCGGCCCATCGCTCACTTGGGAGAGTGTGGTGCTGATAACACCAAGGCCACGGGTTCAGATCCCTATATAGGGATGGCCGGTTAGCTCACTTGGGAGAGCATGGTGCTGACAACACCAAGTCAAGGGTTAAGATCCCCTTACAGGTCATCTTTAAAAAAAAAAAAAAAGTTGGAGGAAAGTTCTCCTTTACAAAACAATCAACTAATAAATGCCAAAGGAATTATAGAATTTCATCATTTTGCAACCTCTAATAAAATAATGAATCTAGACAATAATTATCAATGGCTGCTAAAACCATCAGGTGGAATGCTCATGCAAAATTTTATAATGGAAGGATCAGGCCAAAAATACCTGAACCCACTGAGTAATTATAACATCAGAAAAGAGAGGTGAGGGCCAGCCCGGTGGCGCACTGGATAGTGCGCCGCTTGGGAAGCGCGGCGGCGCTCCCGCCCGAGGGTTCGGATCCCACATACAGACCGGTTCCCGCTCACTGGCTGAGCGAGGCGCGGGAGCAACACCAAGGGTTGCGATCCCGTTGCCGGTCCCCAGTCCGGTACGGGGGCGACACTGAGGGTTGCGATCCGTTGCCGGACACGGAAAAAGACAAAAGACAAAAAAAAAAAAAAGAAAAGAGAGGTGACCAGATATTATGTGGCTCCTGATGTGATGCAGTAAGAATTACATAGCCTCCTCTATGAAATATTCTTGCCAAAAATCAAAACTGAATCTGATCAAGGAGTAGAAAACATGTAAAATGATGCCACTCACCCAGAAGTCCCACTACAATGTATATCCATACAAGAATGTTCACAGAAGCAAATTTTTAATAGAGAAAAATTATAAAAGACCTAAATGTCCATTAATAGGTAATAAATTATGATATTTAACAGTATACTGTGATGAAAAATAATAAATTTTAGCTCCGGGTTATCAATCTAAATGATGCTCACAAACACAATATTGAGAAAAAAAAGCAAGTCGCACAATACCAAGAAGAGTTAACGTAGCAGGCCTGGGTCTACTATCCTTAGAAAGGCCTGTTTGCCAGCTTAGCCCTTTTGGGCTGGTGTCTGGGAACTTGCCTCTCAAAATGTTCCCAGTCACCAGTTAATTGAGAAAGGGTAGTTGACTATGTGCAGACTGAACACAATATGATTTATGCTGAATACCTGCTTTCCTGCTGGGAGTCTGGAATTTGGGTACACACTAGGCAAATGGTATCCACATGACCAGCCCTCAATAAAAACTGTGGGTGCTCTTTAATGGGCTCTCTGGGCAGAAACATCTCACACATGTTGCTGGAGGAAAGTGCTCCTTTCGCGACCCCTCGTGTGAGGGAGAGCAAATAAGGAAGCCTGCAAATGGATTCCTCCAAACTCTGTCAGTGTCTTTTTTCCCTTATGAGCATAATGAGTGTCCTTACCACATCGCTATAGTAAATTCTAGTCATGGCTATGTATGCTGAGTTCTGTGAGTCTTTCTAGCAAATCTCTGAAACTAGGGGTGATTTGGGGGACTCTCAATAAAATTCCATATATGAAGTTTAAAAACAGGTAAAACAATAACCATATACTGGTAATGAACACATATGAATTGTTGGAGTGAGCAGGACTGAAGCCATGATGGGACCTAAAACCACATGGACTCAAAAGGTTTTTAAAAGACG